TCGTGGTGTAGTTGGTTATCACGTCAGTCTAACACACTGAAGGTCTCCGGTTCGAGTCCGGGCGACGCCAATGGAGGCTATTGTGATTTTTTGGCGTTTTGACAATTCAAATCGAATGCTTGTTCTGCAGGAGGCTGCAGCCTGCAAAGTGCAAACACGGTCAATACTCAATAGTAATTCATAGTTTGCTTTTATGGTCGCCGACTCGCTGCCCCTATAAGTTTTCATTTTGCAAGTTCGACCACCGTGAAGTAAGTTTTTCCTTCCTATTTATTCGTTAAACGTACAAGCGCGTAACCCGAGCGACCAATATAAGATTTTTTATTCCAGTTTTTACTATTAAGGGAGTGTTTAGGTAAAATAAAAATCATAGTTTTAAAAGTGATTTTGAAACATACAAGATAAATATGTAATAAAAATTATCTTAATTTGTATGAAAACATTTTTAAAAAGTGCTTATGAGGTTACCAAACACCCCTTAAAACTAATATATATAGGTCCTGTGATGAGTTGTGCATGTTTATCAGTATTTTTTTTATATAGCATTAATATAATTTCTTGTTCTTAAAAATTGGGTCTATCTAATTTTAGTCTCTTAAATTTCAAACTCATGATTTTAGTTCCTAAAATTTAGTCTATTTTTAAATATTGGTGTAATTGTTTTAAAATCTACTGTAATGTCATAAATAATATTAAACTAGTGGTGCAGACTTACCAGATGATAACTAATTGAATTTTATGAGAATAACAAAAAAGGAAAAAGTAGCTCCTCAAAAGGAAGCTACTTAACCACCATTTTTTCTTTATTACGATTGTTTCAATAACGGTTTACTCCATCATATTTTATTATCCACACAAGATCTAGTTAACTACTATCTGTTGAGTCTACTTCACTACTTTTAACGAATAACGATATTAATGACACTTCTACAAATGTTAACATTGTCGTATCTTCAGGAACTAACATTTTAAAATGAGCTAAATTCTAATAATTAAAATTATAAGTTTGAAATTTGAGGGAACAAAACCAAAATGCGTCAAAATTTGAGAGACTAAAATTATACTAACCCCTTTATAATTAAAAATAAAAAAGTAGGGTATTTCTTAAAAACATTTTCAAATATAACAGGACATTTTAATAGATAAATTGTTAATTTGTGGCAAAAAGGATAAATTGTTGATTCAAAAATATTTTTCGAAATCTCAACATCCATACATTGTTTTTTGCATCCAAGTACGAAAGACCAATAAAAAATTGGAAATAATTTTTTGTATTTTTATTATTGAATTTATCAATTAAAATTCATGATTAGTACCTACATACATTTTATAATAAAATAACTAATATAACTATGCATTTATATTTAAATGTGGTAATAAAAAATAATTGGTTGAAAATTTGAAATTTAAGGCGAACAAGGGAAATAGTTTATCCAAAAATTAGAAGTAAAAAAGAAAAATTACAATGACAACTAAAAGTAGATGCCATTTACTCCTTTGATATATTGTTTTATTATTACTGAGATTTTTTAATAATGATGTTTTCTATTTAAGATTTTATAACAATTTTTTCAACCCCCAAAAAAAGGCAATGTGAAAAATGTTGCCAATTTCGTTGATTCCCATCTACCCCTTATCATGATAATAACGATAATGAACTTTTTTATCCCCAGTGATTAACAGTAACTCAGTAAGCTGAAACTTGGTGCTCGTGATGGTTCATGAAAATCCCACGGACGAGCCGTCACAATCGCAATTGCAAGCAACAAGCAAAAAAGGGAGAAACTTTCGCTGTTTTCGCATTAGAGCCATCGGATTCGGGTCCGGGTCTAACTCGGTCGCCTCCCAACCAATTCACCGTCTCAACCCTTGAAGTTGAGTTTGTGTCCCAGTATTCATACGATTTGTCATCCTCGATTTCGCGTCAAGCGCTTGATCCCCTCAACATTTTAGATACTCTCTGATTTTATCTTCTAGGCCGAACCCAGTCAAGAATCAAGACGAGCAGTTCCAATTTCGAGTCAGCTTTGATTTGAAGCTTATCTTTTCGCCCTGCTTAAAGGGAATACGCAAGATATGGCGACGACTAGGTCATCGAATCCTTCCTCCGATGACATAATCGATTCGACGCCATTCATAGCAAATTCAGGCGGTTCTTCCGACGAATTCAATTCTGGCCGGCGATTTGTTCGCAGGCAGAGCCTGCGCCAAGCGGCTCGGTTCCTGAGGCAGGCCAGTGGGCGTAGGATGATGCGCGAGCCATCGATGCTGGTCAGAGAGACTGCAGCTGAGCAATTGGAGGAGAGACAGGGCGATTGGGCTTATTCTAAACCCGTTGTGATCCTTGATATTATTTGGAACTTCGTCTTTGTTGTTGTGGCTGCTACGATTTTAATTTTGAGTCGAAGCGAGTCGCCGAGCATGCCTTTGAGGTTGTGGATTGTGGGCTACGCTCTGCAATGTATCCTTCACGTGTTCTGCGTTTGCGTTGAATATAGGAGACGGAGGCGGCTCCGGCGGCGCCAGTTTACACCATCCTTGGATGCAGCGCATGGAAGGACGGGCAGCGGTGGGAATCTGAGTCTGGGTTCGAGAGATGGTTCTGGGCACTATGTGGCATTGGCGCAATTCAACGAGGAAGAGGGTACAAGGTGAATTTGTGCTCCATCTTTTTTAATTTTGGTGAATAATTTCTTCTCTGGCACTTTTAGTACCTGTATAAATCAATTGTGAGCGATAATTAAATCTGCCTTCTTTGACCCCCAAAAAAAAAAAAAAATCTGCCTTGTGATAATAACTTGAATTGTATTCAAATTTAGTTGTTGCCCAGAATTTGAATGCACTAGAGTCTTATTATACCAAACTAAAAACACTCGTAAACACGAGTATTAAGTGACCTTTGGTTCTGTTAAGTTGCCTGCAAAAGGGACCAGTGTCTATATATACCTGATTTAAATTATTAAGGAAAAAGACTTTCATAGTACATTTGCTCAAGGACTATCCGCTTCTGAAATCTGTAGTAACCTTCAAGTCGTAGCTCATTTTTTTTAATTCTGTGCATATCGTAGCATTATTTTTTTTTTAATATGTTGACACAATACCTCTAATATTTTTAAGCTTCAGACAAGGACAAGAAAAACGTATCATTTAAATCTGTGACCTATCATCCATTTGGACCCTTGTAGTTATCCTTTTCTTAAGAAAACTTGGGGAAAAATAATGCTTTTTTACGTTTGTCTTTTCTTCCTTGCAGTGTAGCAAAGCATTTGGAGTCAGCAAACACAATGTTTTCATTTATCTGGTGGATCATCGGATTTTACTGGGTATCAGCTGGTGGTCAATCTTTAGTCCTCGATTCTCCATTTTTATACTGGTCTGTGCTCTCTATCAAGCGATTTGTTCATTTATATAATTATGAATTATTGGACTTTTATTACTTAATTGAGTTGCCTTTTAGCTAATTTTCTGTTCTTTTTGTTGAATTTTACCTTGGACAAAATCAACTCACTTTGCAGGTTATGTATAGCTTTCCTGGGTTTCGATGTTTTCTTCGTTGTATTCTGTGTTGCGCTGGCATTCATCATTGGTATTGCTGTATGCTGCTGTCTTCCATGTATTATTGCACTTCTATATGCCGTTGCAGACCAGGTAATCTGGGGCATTGCTTGTTTTTCACTCTTGTTATTGAGTTAGTATGGCCTTATGAATCTCTTGCATCCAAATTCTAATATGGCTACTCCAACTTATGCGACCTTAGGTTTACACAAATATGTATTAATAGAGTATTCAAAACATTGCTAAGTTGTTACGGTTGTAATGAAGTTCATACATGGTTTTGAAGATAAAGTAACTCTTTTTAAGTTACCGGCTTTCATGCTCAGGCCCTTGCTTCTTCGCTTGGACCAGAAGGACTGGTCTTTGACTTGGAATTATTATCTATGAAGTTTACTTGAGGGTATTATTAGCTTTCGGGGCAAGTGTTAAATATGAACTGATTCAATTTCAGTGTGATGGCAGAGTCCGTCGTTATCTTGCACATGTTATTAGACCTTAATATTTTTGTTTTTTTGGGGCTGCAGGAAGGAGCATCAAAAGAAGACATTGAGCAATTGCCTAAGTTCAAATTCCGAAGAATTGACAATGAAGAGAAAGTTGCTGGCAGTGCACAAGAACGAGTTGGTGGAATAATGACTGAATGCGGCACTGATTCACCGAGTGAACACATTCTTTCTGAAGAGGATGCGGTATGTTGAACATTTTCCTCACTGTTGAGATTTGTCTTTGCTCCTATTTTTCTTTTTTCCTGGTTCCCTGTAGTCATCTTCATCCGTTATGCTGAAGATATCATCTAAATGTCAAATGTCAAAGGGAACTCAATGTAGCAGGCTTTCTTATAAGCTAATGAAATTATGCTATCATGATTATGTGATGCCCATCGAATTTACCTATCAAACACATGTAAGTGGAGGATACTACGTATATCCATTTTCTCTGTACGTGTTCTAGCATTCCCTTTGTCCTGCTATTGCATCATACCATCAGAAGAGATCGGCTTGATTGTTCAAACTGATGTTTTGTTCTGTCTGTTTCGTATGTCTTAATTTGAAGCTGTGGCCTATTGGGTCAACGTACATGGTTGCATTGTCCTTTGTTATCCATGGAAGTTTGAAGCGATTAATCACTTATTTGTACTTATGTTTTATTTTATTCTGATTTATTAACTGCAGGAATGCTGCATCTGTCTATCTGCTTATGATGATGGCGTTGACCTTAGAGAACTTCCTTGTGGTCACCATTTTCACTGTGCCTGTGTGGACAAGTGGCTGTACATTAATTCTACTTGTCCTCTCTGCAAGTATAACATCTTGAAGAGAATCAACCAAGAGGAAGCTTAGTGGACCCAAAAAATTTTCTAGCACTCATGTTGATGAATAGGTATATTTGTTGTCCGGGTGTATTATGCACAGCATGTTAATATACTTCAATCCAGGCCAATTTGGCATTGGCTTTGAGTTGGTGGGTGTATTGAGCTTGTTCAGTGCATTTGTGCCAGAATTATCTTGAGGCGATATGCTGTTAATGTGAATGTAGTATGTGAATACTTATCAAGTCACCCTAGTTGGCTGTATGATCTGTAAATTCACCACTGGACGTTGTTCGGTCTCATGTGCCTATGTTGAGTGTTGTTAGGTTCTTATAATAAAGACAGTAGAAAGAGAAAGGTTTGAGTGCATGTAAGAAATGACAGGCTGTTGGGCAATTTGACTGTGACTTGTGTTTTTAGTATGTGCCAAGTGCTATATAGTAAAAGCTTCTCTTGGAATATTCTAATTGGGCTTCGGAGTGAGGTAAGCCATTAGACATTGGTCAACATACTCTGGGAGAATGTAGGTAATGAAATGAGTGCATTGGGGAACAATTTCCAGGCGGGGCTTCCCGAGCATGTAACATGAAGAGGAGCGAAATGAACATCAAGGGATTGAAGATTGTGAAAGAGAGCAGCTTTTCTGAAAGAGCTTTGCAAAGCTTTAAATATGGCCTTGGGCTGCTACTCTATTAGTGTCACCACTGCATGATCGTCAGCCAGGCCATAAAGGAAGATTTTGCCAGTCTCTTCCTATAATCCCTTTGACCTCAGAAATGAGGGCACAGTCTGGATTCCTTCACTCGCTATTTGAACGCTCCGCCATGAAGCTTAGCGCTCAAACTGTTAATTTCTGTTCGGCTCTGCATGAAGCTCGCTAGAAATTGGCATTTTATAGGTCATCTTCAAACCTTGCTGCTTCATTCCAAATGTTCTCATCGGTTGGGCCTTACCCACAATTTTTCCTCCCTTTTCTATGACGGATAGGGTTTTCCTAAAATAGGTTAAAATGTTCACTTAATTTTTTTAGATAAATTCCTATTAAAAAGCAATAAATTACTCTTCTGGTCATTAATATAAGACCCAATTATTGAGTTGGTTTTGGTCTTAAATATAAGACCTATTTCTTATATTTATCAATTTTTTCTAAATTATCCATATAGATATTCCCTCAATCATAATCAAGTAAAATAGGGAAATGAGGTATTAAGAAAGATGATTATGGTGTTTTAAGAAAAATGTCACATTTCTTATAATTAACTAACTTAACTAATTTTTTTTAATCTAATCAAATTATTTAAATGGGTCTTATATTAAGAACCGGAGGAGTAATATTATTTGAGAAAGGATGTGTTTAGAAGACTAGTAATTAGTATTGTTTTTGAATAGTAAGGTGTCATGTAAACCGTCAGACTCTCACTTTCTCTCTCTGTCAGCCCATGCCCGTTATGAGCTCCCGCCTTTCTCTGATTATCTCCACGGCCCATTATTCCTATTTTCCTCCATCTGTCCAAACTCGGAGCCCCGCAGACTAGGCTCATCAAATTCCCTTTCCCCTTTTTCTTTTTGAAGATTACAAGCTTTGCTTGGATTCCGTTGTTTCCTGGCTGGCTTGCAAGCCTTGTTCAGTTTGAGCAAATGAATAAACAAAATTAATGGAAGATGAAATAAAAATATAATTATTTCTTATCAGCTCGATTAGAATGTCGCTGAATTTATATTACGTCATTTAGATGTGTAAAAATTATTGTAGTCACTCGAAAGCTAAAGCAAGCTTTCGAGTTGGGAAACTTGGCTAGAATCCACCAAAAGCATATTAGTCTATTACGGAACAATTGAAAAGGAGTGAAATGAGATTTCGACCAATAAAACTAGTGGAAGCAACAAGAGGATGATTCTTGAACTTTTGGAGTCTCTGGCCGAAAAGATGACAAAAGACAGTGATATTTTGACAATTACAAATGCCAATAGGTATCAACATATCAATACGTGTGTGCCAGAGAGAATTCAGAAAAAAATATTTCTCATGTTCCATGAAAAAATGTGTTTATCTTTTTTTAATTAAAAAAACAGAGAGAACACGTGGAATTTAAAAATGATGTATTCTTTATTAATTTTCGGAATGAGAAATTATTACAATAATATATAAAATCAAAATCATCCAAATCAAATTAATAAATTTTTTTAGTCAAAAAAATAATAATAAATTTTTGCTTAACAGTATATCCGCTAATAAATAATAGTAATTCATATTGAAGCGAGGGTACAGATGAATAAAACTCTCCCATGATTCATCTTTCTACAAAAAAAAAGAAAAAGTTTAAAACCGATCGAATAAAAGAAGGGGTAAAAAAGAAGCACAAGAAAACAAAACGAGACACGTACACAGAAGTGGACCGGAAATGGTAAGCATGCATGTGGTTGAGCTCATATTTTTCCACCGTGAAAAAAGGTTATTTCTCCAAAAGCAGTAGACCAAACTGAATTATCAAATCAGCACCCAGATTTCATCTGTCCCTCTTCCATCTTCCCAATGGGAATTCCGATCGCCGGAGAAGCAGCGGCAGCGTCATGCCTATCCTTCAACTGAATACTGAGGTTGATTATGGCGCCACCCGCGCACCCGTCTCTCCCTCGTAGCCTGTAACTCAGGCAACGAACACACGGGGGAGGTGGCGGCGGCGGCCAAATATCAGACGCTGGAATCAGACACCACCCCACTTGAGTCGGCCCCAAAATCCGCCGCTTCCGGTGTAACTGAAGGTACAGACAAGACTGCGTATCGGAGAGGAAGTGGGAATCGGCTGGCACGCGTAACACCCCTCCTTCTGCTGCTCCTTCGCCTTCCAGCCTCTCACTGTACACCTTAGGTTTCTGATCAGGCAGCTTCGTCACGGAAAAGAAATGCGAGGGCGTGGAATTCGCCGGCGTAAATATGAAGGAGGACCACCACGAGGAAAAAGAAGACGACTCGCTTATCAGACTGAGGCCTTCACATGACAAAACTCTGACCTCCAGCTCCCACATGGGATTCAGGATATTGCTCATCATATCTCTCTCTCTCTGACGCAAGAAATACAAGAACAAGACACAGAGGAGTAACAAGGAGTACATACTAGTATACTACATATCAATGAAAATGATTCGAGGTTGGAATTTTAATGCAGGAAACAACGCAAGAAACTACGTACATGAAGCAGGAACCATTGACGTGTATATAATAATTAAAAGTTGGACGTCAGGACGATGAGGTAACGTGTTGGAATAACTTTTCAATCAATGTCGTGTGAATCGAAATAAAACTCTCCTTGCATATATTTATTTCGTGTTCTAAATTATACTCTTCTGGTATTAAATATAAGACCTTTATATTTAGGACAGGAGGAGTGGTTGAAAGACACTTTATGGTCCTATTTGGTAGAGCGGTAGAAATTTCTTATAAGCATGTTTTACGTAAGTTGAGACAAAATTCCTCTTACATACTTGTCTTGAATTCCGTAAATCATTATTAAAAAACAGTTTATAAACTACTTATAAGCTGTTTTAAAGAGGTCTTGTAACAATTCCAAATAAGTTACCTAAACTTTTCCAGCTTTTCACTCTGTCTTTTCTTTTCTTCTTTTGCTTTTCAAATTGGAGATACATGCATTATCAGCGTAAAGTTACAAGTGAAATCTTTCACTCATACGATGATTTATTTTTTGGGCCAAAAGTTTACAAGATGACGGACCACTTTATTTTCTCTTAACACACATTAATTGCTATAGGTACCTTTCCATGCATCTTTTCCGGTCACCCTCTCCTTCTTAGTTATTTTATAATTTTTTCAAGGGTCCCAGGTACTGTATATTTTCCTCCCTTGTGGGGTAGGCCTTGCTTTAAATGGCATGATTGAACAAACAAAACATTAACAAATTGTTCACTCATTGTGGCGTGGAAACTGGAAAATTAGAATAAGCAGACCCAGAGAGTCAACGGCCAAAAGTTATTAGATTTAGAATACAGCTCTTGTCAGCGAAAATACACACACACAGCTCTGGAATTGGGACTTGTGATTAGTGCGTGCCTCTGCCTCCACATGCTGCTTCTTTTCCACAAAAGTCGGCAGAATGACAGTTTTGTCCAAAAGAAAGCAAGTTCCTCATAATCGTAATGGTACAAAAGTTTTTTTATATGTATATAATTATCTTTTTTTATAATTCTTCGATACCATATTTGTAAATCACTAGCTCCATCCTTCGTATAAAAGCTAATTTGACATTTAATTTGATTTTAAATATAATATTCCAACCCACTTTATTTTTCATATTTATTTATTTTTTTAAAATAGTTCTTGTAGTAGTTCTACATATTAAATGTTTCATTAAATGGTAATTCTTGCTAATACATATGATTAGTAAGGATATTTTAGAAAAGAGAACACTTATTACATGTATCTAGCTTAACAATTTTATGAATCTATTCAAATTAGTTTACTGGTTTTTTTATTAAAAACAAGAAGTAATAGTATGTTTCAAAAAAGTTCCTGGACTTACCTGTTATTTCGTTTATTTAAAATAATTTAAGTGACTTAGATTCTCTAAGTTCTCCGAGGTCACTGTGTCTCCGAGCTTAAAGAGCTGTTATAACAATATTTCAGACTACCCATCAATATGTCATTCGCAAGAGGATTATTCCATTGTTAATTTTTGAATGAAAAAAGACAGTCTAATCAATGAAAAAGCGCTTCTCCTTCGCTTTGCCTCGATTCCAACAATACGCAAGTATATGAGACGTCATAGGCCCACGTCTTAGATTTTTTTTTTTTTTTTTATCCTTTTGGGTATCACATCTGATTGCTTTTTTAACCGATTAATTAATCTTTTTTCATTTCTATTATTGGCCGCCGCACCAATCATTATTTTCTTGCCGAACAAAATTTAAATAAAATTGACATGATGAAAAACGTTTTGGGCTGAGGGATCCGTAATCAATACTCTCCCCTGTCTCTCTGATAATGTAGATTCAGTCAAACAAACTAGAAATTAACTCATTAAAGGTGTAACAAAATTATCTTTATTATAATATTTCAATGGAAAATTAACTACTCGTAATATTTAAGTTGTGCAAGGATAAAATATAGAAGCAAAAAATTGAATGCTCCAAATATTTATTAAATTACACTTATATTTTGAATCAAGAAAAACTCAGAACAAGCGACCTGTATTGTTTTTGGAAGGGAATAAATATACAATTAGTACATGCGAATGGCAATAAGTCCCCCCTCCCTTGTAGGAAGGAGGAGGAGAAGAAGATGATGACATAAAAACATTGTCTTTGGTGGTGAAAGAAATTAAAAGTTTTTTTTTTGGGGGGGGGGGACCATATCTTCCTGTCTATTTCCTAGAAATTGTTAGATCATTTGATGGATATGTTTAAGAATTAAGCAATATAGGCCCATACATTGCATTGACTGATTGACTCTTCAAGTGACACACATTGTTCGTGGTATTTAAAATGTTACAACTTATAAATTTTTTAATATTATCGAATATTGAAAAAGTAATTGTGTGAGTAAACAGGAACAGCATATTTCTCTGCTTTTTTTTTTTCCCCTTTTCCTAGTGAAAAGGACAGATACTAATAATTTGAAGTTGCAAAAGTGGACTCAAGGTAACAACCTTCTCACAAGAAAATTTTTATTCTGGTATACTATTAGGCGGTTTCTAAGCATTTTCTTATTGCTGGACCATTTTCTTATTCTATCATATAAAGCATTCATTGATCAAAAGATCACTGTTTCCATAAACGTTTTTTGAATTTTAATTAATAATAATCAGTTGATTTGCACGTACTGCACTCCCATTCAAAAATGAGTTGCATGCATAATAACAAAAGATTTTATATTTAAATTTTGTATGTGAATTATCTGCTTTTTTAAATAATTGTATAAATATTTATTAATAAATAAATAATTATACTAGATTTTTGGGGCGAGTGTTAGGTTGCATACCGATACAATATTAGTTAATAATAATAATAATAATAATAATAATAATAATAATAATGAGAAGTAGAACAGAGAACCTACCTTCAGCGTGGGGGGCGTGTTTTTGTGGTCTTCATTCATGTTCAAAATTCATTGTATTTTGCCATTTTGATTCATATTGGCTGGCTAGTGTTGGAAAATTTAATGAATGAGCTCACAAACATTGGAATACTTTTCAATTGAATCTGTTCAATGTTCAGTCATCCGCTTCTTTCTTTTTCATTTTCCCCCTTGAATCATCCTTTTCATTCAGAAATGCTCCTCCCCTCCTCTAGTATGTAACATTCATTTTCTTATATATATATATATATATATATATTGGTGTTCTATATAAGTAATACTTTGTACTTTTCTAAAAATTTAACATATATATTGTTTTTAGCCCTAATTAATTACAATTATTTATTATGGTAGCTTATAAGTAGCTTTTCAATCGTGATTTATGAAATGCAAGGTAAGTATGTGAAAAATTTTCTATCTCAACTTACATAAAATGTGCTTATAAGTGATTTCAAACATTAATTCAAACAAAGCTTATGTTTTTTTTTCCTGATTCATTTGCTCACATTGGTTTCACTCAGTTTTCATAAATAAGAATATATTTAGAAAAAATATCTTACATATTTATTATTTTAATTAATTTTAAATAATATTTTGATGTACATGATTTAGTTAGTTATTAGTTATATTTGGGATTGGATTGGAGAGAGTAGGTGTTTGGGTAAGATCAAAACTATAGTTTCAAAAATGCTTTTACGGTATACAAGATAAATATGTGAAAGAGTTTGTCTCGATCTGTAAAAAAAATATTTATGAAAAAGTGATTATTGGGGTACCTAAACACTTTTTTTTAAAACAATACTCCAATATTAAGGTTTGCCGGTATCCCAATTGCCAATGGTGTGGCTCTTTTTGGCAGATAGGACGGACTCGAATGAAAAAAACATGGGCCTATTTATACGGGTAACCACGCAGCAATTCTTGAACCTAAACCAAACCCGCATGATGTCTGTGAACCCACGGAACCCCTCGTTCATGGGTTCAACTGGTAAAAAAACTGGACTCTCTCACAAAAAAGAAGATTTCGATTATGGAGAGTACTATTTTGTTGTGGCTCCAGTTGCTGCGTTGGGAGAGGTGTCACCATAGCATATTGAGGTTGAGAAATTCCTACCTATTGGGCCAGAAAAAAAAAAGACTTGCTTGTCATACTTTCGTGGCCGTGGGTGAGTCCAACCCTTTTCCTAAAATTTTTGTACCAAAAAAGAAAAAAAAGAAAAAGCAGAATCCCGTTGCAATTTCAAAACGAAAAGGGGACCGAAGGATAATTGACCAAAGTTTTGATTGGTAGGATAGTTTTCAGTTTGAAACGGTTGAACAGTTCTAAAAGGTAAAAACCATCACAATATCAAATGTTTCGGTCTGTATTCGTTACGGATGAGTAAAGTCAACATTAATCGCACCAAACCTTTTGTTTTGGTTGTCGCTCGCAATGACATTTTTGAATGTTGCGCTTCTTGATTTGTTAGCCAGTCCACTTCAATCATGTGATGGACTAGAGCCTAGATGGAGGGACAAGGGTGGACAAGAATCAATATCCAATAATATACTCAATTACTCATACAGTATTATCTATAAATGCTGGATATATACATAAATTAACTACATTTATAAGGGATGAACAATATAATTAACTGTTTGTGCTTTGTGTGGTACAACTACAAGTCATTAACTTTCTAGAATGTTCCATCTAGAAGGGAGCTTTGATTATACATCGTTGGACGGGACGATGAAATATTTAGAGAGAATTACAATGAGGTCCCAAGTAATTAAAAAAACAAAGTCCCAGAGGTTGTCATTCTCACTGTAGGACTTGTTATTTCAGGCTGCTCAGGTTGTTACTTGAAACTTTATAGTGATTATTTCTCTTATGTGGGATTTGAATGTAATTCTCCTAAATATTTACTTTTGTAGTTTTGACAGACGGACATCATAGGCGGACCGCAGTCAAACTGTGACAGCCAATTTTTGGCATGCTTTGAACTTCGATTCCAGCCCATAATCATCAACGCCTCCTGCGTTTTTATATGGTGCCCTGCATCTGCAACTCCATAACAGCCCAAATTATGTGCTTTTTATTACGAACATATAATAATTACATTTATGTTTTATGAGATAAAATTATTATGATGCACAACACATAACTTATCCAGACTGGAACCTCCCACATCCAGGCCTCTTTTCCCGCTTCCCTTTCCCCCGCTCACTCACACCCTTTTTAAACTCAAACCGTCATGCCAGGAGCCTGGAAAGAGGGAACTCATTACCGTAATTCTTATATTCCCATTTTGTACCTCATATTAAACCTTAATCACTTAAAAATAGGTTAAAGATGCGACAAATCATCCCTATCACTTGAAACACTTAATTTATTAAGAATAAGAAGCTGATGAAAGAAAACCGTTATCATCAATTAAAAAAATTTCAGAAAATCAATTATTATGAAGAGCGGGTTATAATAGGCCTTACATTTTTAATAATTAGTTGCAAAGTTTGCAAATATTAGTAGAAATTTATGCGAGTATACACATGCTAGGCTGATATGATGTCAGAAAATCATAGCATCGCAACCGAAGGAAGGAACGAAGAAGGTGCAAAATCTAAATAATGGAAGCGTGAAATACACTTAAATCCAATCGAAATCGCATCCGGTTTGAATAATCACATCACGTTGCTCCGTCCACGTCTCATCGTGATTCGTCATTTTTCCACTGTCATTTGCTAATCATTTTTTCACCATCAAAATGACATTCCTTTTCCCTTCGTAACTTTTCACTTTCCGCACCCAAAATGAAGCATCGCTTTCTTAGTGCTTATCCTTCCCGCTTCGATGACTATTTCTAGTCTTAACTGTGCTGCAACATTTGGGAAGAAGATGGGGCTTCAAATCACGTGCGTCCCAGCCTTTCGCACGTGACAGCATCCGAACATGGCAGCCCGAGACGCAGAGCCATCAAACGAATTAACAACTTATTGGCTATTGTTTCCCAAGCTCCAACCAGGGCGTCTCCTGATCATCGGAGTTACTACCATCTAGCGGCTCTGTTTTTACATCGGAGCCACCGTCGGGTTCTTGGGACGACTGTGTTTGATTTTGTTCTTCCTTTTCTGCCTCCTCGCCCTCTGAACTCCGATGTCGTTTTGCCCCAATTGAAACCCCAAACAATTTGGGCACCTCCGCTTCGGTAACTTTCGTCTCCTGCGAAGCGCCGCCTCCTACGATGGCTTCCTCAGCCGAAAGCTGCGTCGCGGGTAAAAGCTCCAATGGTTTTCCTTCAGCGGCACTACTGGACTCTAATTGGCTTGAAGCATAATTCGTCATCAATGTCAGTATGTTATTACAGAGCCCCTTCAATTGACTCAATTCATTACTCAATTGCATGTTCTCTTTCCTAAGCTTTTTATTCTCTTCTAAGAGCTCGGGTGCAGTGGTGCAACTTGTGGTGAGCTGCACTGTATTATGTGCGGCAATCGGAGATGTGTTCGAAGAGATTACCTGCTCGTCACCGGAGTTGGTCGGAGACACCCCTACGACGGCGGAAGGTGCTGCAGCCACCGTCACTGTACTGGCCGCAGCTACGGCAGACGTACACGCCGATATTTTCCGCCGTTGAATGTCTCGAAGCAGGCTTCTCTCGCCTCGCCGGAAACAGTCATTAGCGAATTCCCAACGATCGGGAACAACCTTCCGAAATCCCTGCCAAATCACAGGCGAGTGAACAACAATCCGTTAGGCAGGCGAGAAAATAATGGGAAAATCGTATATTTGTATTAGCAAAAGAAGAAATAAAACAGTACTGAAAGTTAAGCTTACATAGGTATTTAGTTGACGGACGAAACTGGAGAAGTTATTGTGTTTGAAATACTTTGGAAGTAAATCTCGAGCGAATTCAGCGGGTCGCCAAACTATGAAACTGGTTCCATCTTCATTCCAGGAAATCAGGTCATCCACAGAGGGGTCATCCACAAGTTGGTAGGTCTTCGTTAGAAACGGCGTCGGCATAGATCTCTGTGAGTCAGTCAGTGCTGATTCACCGGTCTGCTCCACCGGCAATGGCGCCATGAGCTCGACTTCAGATCTGAAGCTCAGGCTTCTCGTACCTCATAACTATCCTCCAACTGTTTGTTTCGGAGACAAATAAATGCGTGAGAAGGAGATTACAGATGATATCCACAACATAGACAAACGTTTTATGAAAATCAGTATTGCAATATACAAGGAAGTCAAACTATCCTCAATAAGCCTAATCCATGTTCCTTATAATCAGCTGCACTATTCTGACATTAATATTAAAATAAATGAATAGAAATACAGACAAGCATAATCGAACACGAATACTAGTGTGACGATATGTGGTACCTTGACAGAGATAGGTGAGTTAAGGCTCTGAAAACTCGTCACCCACCGACGAGGAAAGAAGAAACGCAGTCTTAAGCAGTTGAACCAGAAACGACCGGAAGCAGCGGTTGCGGCAAGAGAGCGGAGGGAGGGAGGTGGTGGTAGGTTTTTTTGTTGCTTCTAGAAGTTTCGGAGGCGAGAGTAAATAATAGAGGATGAGTTCGAGGAGGAGGGAGAGGTGGGGGGAGAGAGGAGGAAAGAGAGATCGTGGGTTCGAGAAGGAAAGAGCGGGGAGGAATTTGGAAATCACAATAATAACAGTGGGTCCCACATATGATGGATAGAGAGAAAGCGAAGGGATAAGAAGGCGCTAGAAAGGGGACACGAGGAGCGAGAAGCGAGTTAAGGAAGCTGAGTCGGGTCGGGGAATCGAATCCCGGATCAAGAAGCCTTTTTGGTTTTGGACCTCTCCACCAAGCTCGCTCATCTTTTTTTTCCAGAACCTTCTTTCTCTTCCTTCCGCTTACTGTTGGCTGTATGGTGCGGAATTAATCATATGCCCTTTTTCTCTTTCACGGGTCGAATTGGTCCAGCACCAGCAGGCTGGTCACGCCGGACCCCTCCATGCGTCACGGAACTTCTTTTTACAGTAAGATTAATTATTTAGCGACTTAGATGCAATCGGATAAGAGAAAACTCGACTGTTCTAAGATTAATTATTAAGCTAGGTTATAAAATAATTGAGAAAATTAATCTATAACTTTCCATAGTTTTACCTAACTTAATTAGGTTACTGTATTTTCAGCTCAAAAAAAAAATTAGGTTACTCTTTTTTTTCTTTTTTATTCAGTATTTAATTCTTAATTAAATCTTTACATTCTTTATTAAGTCTTTATAATCTTACCTAATTTTAAACATGTTTTTATAGTTTGTAAAAATCCCAAACAATATCTCTAAAATTTCAAAATTTTAAATCAGGATTATAAATATGTATTATTGTTTACTTTTTAAATATTATTAATTATTATTAAAGTGTAGTAAATAAGATTGGTTTAATATTTTTAAATTTAAAAGTTTTTTTGTTGAAATTTTCACTTATAATTTCAAATGATTGATAAAAAAGTTACACAAATTTAATTAAAACTCATGTGAAACTATAAAGACTTATAAATTAATTTTTTGAAATATTCTTTTTGCTAAAATTTTTAAGATAATAGTATGATTTTTTTGGTTAGAAACCGATTTTTTTAATTGGCGGTAATTATATTCAAATTATTGTAGATCATTAAATATAGACATTATTTTATTAAAATCAATACATATTTTTTAATGATTATTGAAAACATTGGGCAGACATCAACGGCCCATCTTTTCTGACCCAATACATTGTTTAATCACGATGCGTATGGGAAGGCGCATGAAGGGTTGCACTGTTCTAGTTAAAGTCAATCTCATTCCTACGCCGATTAGCGGAGCCGCCCGTGCATCAAATCCACGCCATTTGTTTTAATTATTTATATTTTAACGTGCATAGTACATAAAATGGAAATAATTTTCTAATTGTCGATTGGTTAAAATAAAACGTTAACTTAAAAACAAAAAAAATGGAAAATTTAAATATAAATTATCCATTAAATGGGTCAAGCACCGTATCAATGTATAATTACAAACTCGCTCTGATCTTTTTAATAAAAACCTTATAACTGAATTACGCAGCTTAAAAGACAATTAAAATTAGTTAAAAATAATAAATATATAAAAATAAACCTTTTTTTAAGTATAACCTTATTTATAAAGAAAGAAATAGATTAGTAATGAAAAAAAATATGAAAGAGAATGTGCTATGCAAAATTGCCAATCTTTTAATTAATACAATATATAAAATTAATTAAGAACAAAAATAGTAAAAATACTTTAAATGTTTAGGCAACCCCAGTTAGGTTCTTATAAAAAGGACTGAGACAATTTAAACTTCATGCTCTTATAAAAAAAACTGGAGGCTACATACTACCTTTGACCTTTGCTATAAAGAGTTTGATGACTAATTTAAAAAGATTAAAAAAAATTAATTAAAATGATTAATGATAACAAATATGTGCTGTAAATATGAATATATAGCCATTGCTATGTTTGGTACACTGACAATAAATGTTGAATGATTGGGATTGTGATTCAATCTAACAAATCACAGTGCTAAATCAAAGAAATTCCATTAATTGCTATTTAACTAATTTCTTCATTGTTCTAACCATTACAAACTAATTGGGACCGTGAAATTGGAATCACTGGTCAATAATCCAGACATGCCAACCAAACCTACCGCAATTTCTCCGAAACACAAACATGAACATAAAAATTAAAAAATGTGCAGTAACGTAGCAAGCTTGTATCTCCCAATTAATTAATTATTCATAGAACTCTATGGCTTCCCCCTGTACCCCCACGGGTTGTTGCTTGCCCAACACCATTGGTCCCTGCACATTTCCTCCACACCATATTTTGCCCTGCACAAAATCATATGTTTCATCAAACAACAACCATAATGAACAGTCATATTTTTCTTTTTTTGGCAAAATGTTAGATAAAGTTCTTACTTCCACCCTAGCCCTTTCTCAGCTTTCTCTGTAGATGCATACACAGCAACAGCATCCCCAGGTCTCCTCGGACACTTTTTCAGGGGAATTTTCTGAACATTAAATAACAACCCGATCGACCAAAGCTTCATATTTCATCGTCACTTGCATGCACAAAGGAAGATTCATATATTATATATAGTTACCTTTCCGGAAGCTTTCTCGAATGCTGCAACCATTTCAAGCACGGACGTACCACGACCAGTTCCTAGATTGTAAGCCGTACAACCTACCACCAAGTTTGTCACAGTACTTTCAACTATCGCACAAAGATAATGAATGCCATTTCCATATATACAAGAAACAATAACATCGAATCACCTATGCTCTCTGTGTTGAAGAGCTTGCGCAGGGCGGCGATGTGACCATCTGCCAAGTCCATTACATGGATATAGTCCCGTACCTAGATTTCAAAACCAAAATGAAAGAAAAGATCCACTTTTTAGATAGGATCAGAAAGGTTTGATGATTGATTCGTTTAGTGCATGGAATATTACTATAGAAGAAGGTTTTACGAACCGCAGTGCCGTCCTTCGTGGGATAATCTAGACCGAATACGTTGAGCTCAGGCAACCTTCCAACAGCGACTTGTTGTATGAAAGGCATGAGGTTATTGGGAATTCCTCTGGGATCTTCACCAATTTTGCCACTCTCATGGGCTCCTACTGGATTGAAGTATCTCAGTAAGATGATCCCCCAATCTGGCTCTGCCTTTTGGAGGTCTCGAGCTATGTCTTCCAGTATCAGCTGTTTCGAGCAGCAAACACAGAGTACTTCTATATTCAAAATCAGTTTATAAAATCTCTATATTATCTATCAAATTATTGACAGATCAAGTCATGCTTACCTTGGTCCTTCCATAAGGACTCATGGCCATTAACTCGGAATTCTCATCACAAGGTATCTTTTTAGCTTCACCATAGACTGTTGCAGATGATGAGAATACCATCTGATTCAACCATGAAAACACATTACGTATGCAACGAAGAAAGAAAGAAAAGCTTATACCCTAAAGCTCTAAGGATGTAAGATTTCACAATGTTATTCACAGAAACAGGGGAGACGAGTTAACGTCCCTGCTTTATTACCAGACTTGGGGAGCGAATGAGACGCCTTTTGTTTGGGCAAAAAAAAGAATGGGACCCTTTTGCCTGCGTGGCGATTACTTTATGGAAGAAACATAATCCAGAATGATCGCATATTTAATTTAATATCCTTAAGTTACAAGGATGTAATAAATTCATACAATATTCGCAGAAGCAGGGGACACAAGTTAACGTCGTCCCTGTTTTATTGCAGCACATGCACACGGGTGATGCCTCTTTTGCCTGCGTGGAGGTCACTTTATAGAAGCAGACCAAGACATACAGAAAAATGTAATCTTTTTTCTAACTAACCTTCTTACAGTTGTACTTTTTCATAGTTTGATAGAGATTGATGGTGCCGATTAAGTTATATTCAAAATACCGAAGGGGATTTTGAACACTTTCTCCACAGCTTTTAGACCCGCAAAGTGGATCACCGCATCAAATCTGTTTCATCATGATCCCCAGTTACAAAATCACGGAAAATCAACTATTCTCTCTGTAAAATCTGTGTTTCTTTCGACATAAAAAAATGACATGCATGGTTATAAATGTTCAAGTAACTGAATAGTATATAAAAAAAGCTAGCAATCCACACGTACTTGGTTTTGGAAAACAGTTTCTCCAAGTCACCTATATTCCTGAGATCACCCTGAAATCAGGTCAACAAATAAGATCAAACCGGACGGTAATGCAGGTTTATGACTGGGGAGAAAGGATTGAAGATTTTAATGTTATTGGTCTGAAATCATACTTGAACGAAGTCGAGGTTCTTAGAAGAGTCGGGACCGACCAAACCCCGAATCCGGTGGACGGCTTCCATGACGGAATTGTCAAGGTTATCGATGATGGTAACGTTAAAGCCACCTTTGAGAAGCTGAACAACGGTGTGAGAACCGATGAAGCCGGCCCCTCCGGTGACGAGTATCGTTTTCGCCGGCGAAGCCATGACGGAAAACACAGAAACAGTAATGGGGAAGGAGAGGAAGAGTGAGAATATATTTATGTTATATATATATGAAGAGGAGTTGAAGAAGACGAAGGAACAGATTGAG